TATCTTACGTGTTGTCAACATGTCGATGAGATGGCGCATATGTATATTATCTTATATTTATGAAACTAGGAGCGTATATATAAGATGATATTTAAGTGAGTTGAAAATGATTTAAGGGTATTTAAATATTCACATAGTTTAAATGCTAAAATAAGTTTTTTTGTCAAGTTCAAATGAGTTTTTATGTATTTTATCTAGTAGTAACAGAGAGTATCTAAATTTCGATCTCCTTTCTTTGATACTAATTTTGTGGACATGAATATAATTGGTAACATTGTATCTTACGTTCAAGATAACACTTGCAAATTTACCTATCATCTTGATAATTAGTTTGTGTCTATCTCGATAAATCAACATATTTTATTTTATACATATCCTGCACAATTATTTATATTTATATGTGTGAGCTCGGTTAATCCTTTTTTTCTTATTCATTACTAGCTTCTAGGTGGTAAGTCCCAAAATAAATATAGTGAATTTTTTAAATAATATTAAATATTACAAAAAAAGATACTATATTTTTTTTATCAAACATATTTTAGAACAGTGAATTAAACAATTCAAATCTTCATAATAATAAACAATTTTTTTATCTCAACATCCAATGTTATGTATTGCAAACAAATGTGCAACTCTAAATTGATATCATTTTTGTGCATGTGTGTATATTTAACAACTCTTATTATAATTTACCTTCAAACCACTAATTTATTGAGATATATTGACAATCTAATTATAGAATGAAATATCACAAATAACACGTTTATTTTCATTCCATGACAATCCAAATAGAGAGAAAATTAAAAAAATCAAACTTCTTTTATAATTTGTAACACTAATCGTTCACAAAAATAAAATTATTTGCGAATCTTGGCAATTGTGTAGATATGGTATGAAACCAACCATATGTTCTAGTTTAATACAATTATTTTTGCAATAAGTTAGTAGATCAGTCTTGTAAAATTCTATCCTATCTATTAAAACCTTTTATTTTATCATTATATATTGATTTATCGTCAATCTATTTATTTACGAGATTTTGTTTTATTCCATATTTGAATTGTCCTTTTTCAGCAAAGTGTTCACTTCTTTTTCGCCAGGTTTCATTCGAGTTGTTGGGAATTGGATGATGAAAAAACCAGCAAGCTACGGCTTCAAAGCTTACATTATTTAGAAAAGGGATAATACCCAATTACCCCTAGCCTATACCCAAAATCCCTACGACACATCTTATCTTTGCCCTTGCGTGCCTACGTGACAAAAATAATCTGCAAGATCGATTTGTTTGTTGAACACGCGTCGGGACCCACTTTTTCAGTTTTCGATAAACTGACTTTAATGAAATATACTTCTCCTCTCTCACGTCCCACCCCACTCCCTATGCCCCATAATTAATAAATCTATATGAATAAAGATAATGAGTTTTGTTTCAAATTGTTAATATTGATCTTTTATTATTTTATCATTTGGTTTAATATAATTATCAAGTTTAGAATTAATAATCGACATAAAATAAGAATTAATAATCGACATAAAAAGATGTAAAGAATATATTAAATTTTACTTTACCTTTTCAAATCAAGGAGCTTGAATGATAATGGATGGAGCTTCTACAAAAATGAAAAACCATAAACATGGGGTTATTTTTTGAAAAGAGGTAGAAGATGCTTTGAGAGAAACAATAAAATTTATTTTTGAATTTTTTTTCAAATTGCTTTGACACGTGGCTCATTTTTATTGGCCATTGTTAGCCAAAAGCTGCACTCACGCGCCCTAGATGGGTGAAATCACGATTTTTGCCACGTAGGCACGCAAGGGTAATATATTACTTAAAAAAAAAGTTGAAGGGGGTAATAGGATCTCATCAAAAATAAGGTATGTCGTAGGAATTTTGGATATAAGCTAGGGGGTAATTGAGTATTATCCCTTTAGAAAAGGAGAAAGGGCTTTTTTTATAGATGTTGAGCTTAAGGAAGGAGGCGAAGCTTGAAGAGCGAAACGAGCCGCGCTAGCCTAGCAACATTTTTCAGCAGCAAGCTGTACAGAATTATTTTATGGTACTACACACATTCTCTTAGCTTTGTGCTAGTGCACATTTTCTGAGACTCAGTGTGTCAAATTTAAATTCTCAAAATCTAATAGAATACCTAAGTAACAACTTCCAAGTTTTACATTAAATCATAAAAAAAAAATATTCTCCCCGAAAAGAAAAAGAAAATTTCGAATATGTATTTCAGCTCATATAATTTTATGATTTCAATATATTTTCTTAATCTTATTTATTTGTTGGATTCATATTTACCTGACACATATAATAATTTATTTAGCAATAATAGAGTTATTTCATTGTAAATTAGAATTACTAAAATTTTGAATGTAATTTACTAGTAATAATATTATTTACAAATTATTACAAACTACAACAGTTTGCATATGAGACTCCAAACAATCCTAATTATAGCTAAATAGAAGTCTTCAATATCCATTGCTAGCAGAATATGTCCTACATATTGACTCATCTACCTTCCTTTATTTACACTTGAAGACATGAAACCCAACTCGAAACAAATTTGTATGAAGATGATCAGTAAAAGTATCATGGGCTTTGAAACTCAAGAAAATATGGTACGAAAATTTAGCTTGCTCCATAGCAGATTCAACTAAGCTTCATGAGATCACCAAATAATTGATTATTATTTACCATCTTTGATGAAATATGCTCGTGAAAAGCATATGAACAGTTCAAACTGAATTTTTTACTCATCATTTACATAAATTATACACAAATATATAGTGATTATTTCCTTTATTTCAAAATAATTGTTACGCTTTTTAAGAAAAAATAGTAAAACATAAATTTATATTTCTTTAATTATTTATTATAGTTAAATTATTTTTCAAAATAACTTAACATTAATTATAATAACTAGTAATTTCAATATTAGCTAAATTTTTAATTGATTTCTAATACAATATTCAATACGTGACTCTTTAAATGTCTAAACTCTTTTTATTGTTAAAACCAATTTTTTTAACACAACACTTGGAGTTCTCTTTTCTACTTAAGTTTTGACGGTTATTTTACTTAGCATAAAAGGAATTCCAAAAATCAGACAAAATTATATATCCAAAAATTGTGGATCAAAACTCTAGCAAATAGGCAGAAGCACAAGGTTACTAAACAAACTAGATATATTCCAAAGTCCAAACTAAAAACAATAATATGCAAAGTACTAGTAATTGTAATTAAAGAGTATATGTTCTCTTTTATTTCGTCACTTTTGTTTGATACTTCTATGGACATGAATACAATTGGTAATATTGTATCTTAGGTTCATGATAACAAAGGAATTGGTCAATTTACATATCATCTTGATAATTAGTTCGGGTTTATATTGATAAGAGCAAGGGAAGTAAGACATTTGTTTTAGGACTCAAAATTTTGAGGTCCGAACTTTTTAAAAATATTTTATTTAAATTCACTTGAAAAAACATTACCAAAGAAAAACTATCTACTCATTACAAAAAATATTTTAATACAAATATTGTTGTGAATGCGAACAAATATAATTAATACAATAATAGTTGAGAACGTAGACAATAGGCTTAAATATACCATCTTAATGAATTTTGTTAACCTCTTAACCATTAAATTAAATTTTTAACTTGTATCAAAAGGTGTTAATAATATGTTAATATTTTATATATAATTTTTTAATTAAAATTTAATTTTTATATTATAATGTAATTTTTCAACAAAAAAATATCATATAATTTCCCAATAAAATGGTATTGGTGGACAACATTTAATACATCCTAAATAGAGATGTAGACTTAATAATAATTGTGATTACTTCGATATAGTTTTCATGAATGATTTCATTATTTAAAATAAACAATCATTATAATTTTATATTATATACACATATCAAAATTTATGAAATATAAATATATACTTTCAATTTAAAGTTCACTTCTTCACGTAATTTATGGGTCTCCAATTCCAATAACATTTTTAAAAAAATTCCTTTTTATTCTTCAATTTTCACTTGTCTCCCCTTTTTCTATCACAATTTATATATTATTATTAAATATAAAAAGATAATTTTAAAAAATTAAATTATTTCTTTAAAAATAACATTTATATGGGTATTACCCTATAATAATGTATTTTACATAAATATTCTCAAAATATTGAAAATGGTATAAAATCATTCTCCATCCACCTATTGGCTCCAAAATATCATTCCCACCCACCTATTGGGTCCAAAATATCCTCGTCATCTACTTTTGATTCAAAATTGACCACTTATTTAACAGTTTTATATTTAAACTATTTAAATATTTTTTAAAATACGTGGCGCTCAAGTATTTGTTATAATTTAACTTATTAGTATAATTTATAAATCAATTCACTACCCACCCATTACTAATTAAATCCCTCTAAAATAATAAACTTGTCATATTATTAATGCAAGCTACTGCCAATTGAATGTTTTTAAAAATTATAGAAGTAAATTATCATACATTCAAGTGGCTAAATAAAAATCACCGATAAACTTAAAAGTCTGATTATGTTCATCTTAATTATTCTTACGTCTCAATTATGTGATATTACTAACTTTTTTTCAAAATAATATATTAAAGGTTTTAAAACAAATCATAAATATTTATAAAATTATATTTAAAAAAAGTGCATGAATTAAATCGGGATGTATTACTTCTTTTTCTTTACCTTTAATCATGAATTTCTAATTCAATTTTGTAAGAAAGTGTCCTCCTAAATAAGCAGCTCAATCTAAATTTAATTGGAGTTTCGATTCGGAACCGAATAATTTTGGATGTCATTTTCAGGAATCTATAATTGCTTCGTGTTTTAGTAGTGTTTATGACGCTTTTGATATTATAATTGGATTATTAATTGGGTGAGGTTTAGTTAGTAATGAGTGGGTAGTGACTTAGTTTATAAATTATATTAATAAATTAAAATTATAACCAATAGTTGAACGCCAAGTATTTTAAAAAATATTTAAAGAGTTTAATTTTAAAACAATTAAAAAAGTGATCAATTTTGAACCCAAAAGTGGATGATTCCAGTTTGATCATCTCGTGGGAGGCCAAACCAAGCAGGATACAGAGCCCAGTTCAGATCTTTTGTCTGATTTCTAACCCAAATTGCTGGTCCGTCGTACAAGCCAACATTGGTGTAGGGTTCAGGACATTTGTATACAAAGCAAATGCTCAATCCGTTGATTGTTGTGTGGCTATTGAAGTTGTTTGGTAATGTGCAATAGACTTCTGCTGCATCTGTAAACCTGTAGCTGAACCAATTGGGCACACACTTTCGCCTGGCAAAAATGTTGAGAAAACACCACGGTGGTACAATATCTGAAACATAATAGTATAGTTATGTGAGAGTAATGGAGCCTGTCTAATAGATTAAAACTTGGGGCTTATGTGGGGTGGGTGTGTTTTGCGTGCACATGTGTCATTTTAGCACACATATGTATGTTTTTGTTATGAAGAAGGGCAAGTGTGGTCCAATAGTTAGATGAGAAATACATTTTCGAATCGAAATATAGTCTAAAGGTATACTTAAGTTATTACAACTAAGTTTAAGAGTGGTTTTGACTCTTTTCCATAGTCATCTATGTGATGGTAGGGTGTGTTAGGTGTGCACATGTGGCATTTAACATACACATGGATACATCCGTTAACTAAAAGGGTTGGTGTGACCTAATAGGGTTATTTTTAGTTGAAATATTGTTTAAGAGTATATTTTAAGCTATTTCGAATAGTTTAAGGATAGTTTTGTCAAAGAGTGACAAGTACATATAAAATAAGCAAGTATCTTCAAAGATTGTTCAAATTGACTCTTGATAAACGAAAATACTCACAAATTGAGACGAAGTGAATATTAGTATTAGTAACATGGATAGTACTTCCTCTGTCTTAATTTGTTGGTCTGATTTTGACCTGATATGGAATTTTTAAAGAAATAAACACTTCTAAACTTAAACTAAGTAAATATGTCAAAATATTTTGTGATTTTAAATATGTGAAGCAAAAAATTAAAATTAAAGAGTTGTTGAAAAAGAAAAGAGACAAACATATTTTAACAAACAAATTGAAACGAGAAGTGCATGAAGTACTTAATGAATGTAGAAAGGGGGTAGAAGAGACAAACCTGTGGAGGCAACTTCTTAGGTGATAATGAAAATAAACTTGTTATGTCATCTTGTACATAACCTGGATATTTTCATTTCTAAGTCTTTCAGCATCATACGCACGACCAAATACAAGAGAAACCACACTACTTTTCATTATAGTTTCCAAATTTGAAATTCCCATTTTGTTAGCTAGCACTTGAGGATCAACACTGTCCAATGGCTCTAACTTAAACACACCTTCAACTTCAACAAGATTTATACAATTAAGATGACCTTCTACTGGATGCCCTTTAGCACAAGAACCTACTTTCTCCAATACATCCATCAGCATTTACATCCGTTACATTTGATGGTACCCCTTCGAGGTACTTGATCTTTGTACAACACGCGATGTTAAGAGTTTTCAGCCTCGTAAGATTCTTGATACTATCTGGTAATTCGTCAATCGGATTTCCTCCCAAATCTAGCCATTGTAGTGAGGTCATAATGCCTAAATCAAGCATCTGGAGATAAATTGCATTTTGCAATGTTTAACACATGTAAGGACTTGGGAAAATGAATTTTAGGAGATAATAATGGGCCTCTTCCTTTCCAGGCCCAAGCCCACAAAGATGAATACCATGTTTGGGCCTCCAAATTAATCATTGAGATCCCATCAGCATAAAGTTCCTTTAGTGATGTTAATTTATCAAGCTCTGTTGGTAAATATTCAATGTTTGAGCAGCCTGAGATGTTAAGTGTCTCAAGACATTTTAACTCACAAATGCTATCTGGAAGAATCTTTAACTTGTGGCAATCTTTAAGGTTCAAGATCATGAGTTTTTGTAGACATCCAACGGTGTTATGAACATTGATTAACTTTGTACATTGTTCGAGTATCAACTTTTCAAGATTGGTAAGGCCTGAGAAATCCGGTGTTGTGATGAGTTCAGTGGAGTGGCTCAAATCCAGTATCTCTAGGTACCGGAGAAACTAATGCATCAAAACAAAGAAAATTAAGTCATTTGTTTGATAAAAGTCGTAGTATAAGTAATATACACTGGATAAGAAGCCCATTTCAAAAGATTAGGCCAATTCAAGAGGCTTATAAACTGATGCAATGGTTCAACTCGTGTTAACTTTTGACACCCAACTGAGGATGAAAGAAAATTAATTACCTTATATCCGTTCCAAAGTTGTTTCAAGCAGCTGTATCGCATATCGATAGAAACGACATTTCCCATTGGAAACTCATTTGGTATACACTCCTCTGGGAATCCACTCCAACATAGCCATCTCAATCCCTTTGGAAAGTTCTTGTAACTTCCATTCACTTTAACTTTGTTGAATTGGAGAAATTTAAGCTTGTGCATTTTCTCAAAGGCATCAGTTCTCACATGATCTTGTAAACTAAAATTCCCCACTTTTGAACTCCAAGCTGTGAAAAAACCAATTGGACTTTGTTTCAATGGTATTAAGGACCCAGAACACTTGTATTTCTTAATCATACGCATGTCAAGTACCATCCCCTGCACTCTCTCTGTTCCCTAATATAAATCACAAGAAAAATAAAATACAGTAATGAGCTACTTTTATAACGACGATGACCAAAATATTAAAAATTAGGAACATGATTAATTACTTACTGTTTTTCCTGTTAGAACATTGTAAGAATCTGTGTGATGCCAAAGCCTAGTACGTTTTCCAGGATCCACAGTTGCTTCTCTACGAACAATATCTCTTCCCATATTGATGTATTGTTATCTCATTCACAAATTCAATTGTCACTAAACTTCTATCAATTAGATTTTGTATCCCAACCAATGTGTAAAAATCACATTTATCTAATATCCTAACTACAAAATCTTTTTTCATCCCCACAAAGAAACAACAAAGATGAAGGAACAAATTCTGATCATGATCATCTTCCAATAACTCATAACTCAATCTCAATTTCTCAACAATTTCATTTGTCGGAATTTCTCTCAACTTTCCTATAGCACTTCTCCATACATCTTTTGATTTTCCAGCTATGGAAGTGTTGTAAGATTGTTATACTTACAATAACCTGTATTTATAAGGTTAATAAACAGAAACAGAAATAAGATGAAGCAAAAAAAATATAAAATACAAGAAATAATCCGAGTCCTTAAGAAATTTAATTCCCTCACTGTACCCAAGGTTATGGATTAATTTCTCCCAAGATAAAACGGATTAAACCTGTTAAAGAAATAGCAGTACCTCAAATTTCTTTAACTTCAGCGAACTTAAGAACATCAACAAGTCACACAGACTCAGTCGATCGACACTTTGATTTTTATTTGAGAGAAAAATAAATGCAGAGAAAGAAAAATTTTCAGTGTTTGAAAAATAAAAAATTGACTTCCTTTTATAGCCATTTTCAGCAAAGAACATGTCTGTTCAGTGAAATCTGTTCAGACCCAACTTTTCGGAAAAGTAACAACTTTTCGAAATGTTACCGTTACCCACAAATTTATAAGAGATAATATTAACAAAAACTGATTAAATAAATTTTGTGCAAAAAATTTATCAATCAAATCCAAAGCCGAGCGACGGCGCGAGTGACATCTTCTTATCTCTTTTAAGAAGTAATGGAAGTGTTTCCTTCTATAAGGACAATTTCCATTTCTTTTGCCGATATGGGAGAAATGACTTTTCATTTGCATTTTGCAAATGACTTTTCATTTTTCCTCCAAAGTAGTTCCCTCACTTTTCATATTGTCTCTTTTCTTTTCCCATTCACACTTACTAAAACCCAACAGGAAGAACCGATAACTTGAAGAGCTAATGGAAGTCCTCTACACCATTCAATTACTTCCTCTAAGTACTCTTTGTAATAATCTTTGCTTATTTGATTGTTTACATTACCAAATGCATGAAAATTGTAGAGCTCATTTGCTTCAATTGTGTACAAAATTCCAACTTCATGTACCTCATGGCCTAATTGAGGTCTTAATAAACTTTTGTGCCTAGTTGTTACAATTATTTTACTTCCAAATCCAAACCAATCTTTCATGTCAAATATTGCTTCAACCAAATCAGGCTCATCAACATCATCAAGAACAAGAAGAACTTTTCGATAACATAAAGCATTTCTTATCTTGATGATTCCTTCATCAACACTTGATATTTTTGCCTTTTCATTCTTTAAAAGGATAGAAAGTAGTTGCTTTTGTAAAGCTATGAGACCATTAGGGAGTTTTGATGTTTCTCTAATATTTGGTAAGAAACAACTAATTTCAAAATATCCAAAGTTTAAATTGTAAACAAATTTGGCAAGTGTTGTTTTTCCAATTCCACCAATACCACAAACTAGAAGTATTCCAATATTTGAATTGTTCGATCCATCATCTTGAACCCAAGAATTAATAGGCCTAGCTCTACGATGTATTCCGATTGAACAAGAAGCAATATATAAAGCAGGACGACTTAGTCTCGTGCTGATAACGTTAATAACCTTCTTGATGAAAGTGGATTCATGCCTGAAAAATAAAGAACACTCCTTAAGATTTTCGAGATTTTATAATCTTGAAAATAAGACAGGTTACCTGCTATTAACCCGCAAAAATTTGTTACATCGACGATACATGAATAAATATAACTTACTGATTTTCAAGGACCATTCCAGCCAAATCAGCAGCTTGGCTCAGTGCATCTTTCCATTTTTTTAACTTGTCCTCCCAATACTCTTTTTCATCTACTCTTTCACACTTGAATTTTTCTTCATGTCTGTTTAATGCTTCACCAAAACTTCCTTTGTGCTTCCTCAGATTTGAAGGATCAACATGGTAGAAAATAGGCAATATCATACATGCAAACTTCATTTTGTATTCAAGAATGGAAACAAGTTGATCCAAGCACCAACTAGGAGATGCATAATTTTGTGAGAATACAATTATACACATCTTTGAATCTTGTATTGCTTTAAACAACTCTGAATTGATTTCTGCTTCTCTTCTTGATTCATTATTATCATCACCACCTTCGAACGTGCGAAATCCGGCTTGATTTAAAGCCCTAGAGAGTTGATTTGTGAAATTTTTACCAGTGTAGGTCCAAATCAAAATTACTTTTTATATGCTCTAAACTTTAATTCTGAAACAAATCTGATTTTCAATATAAACACTGATATATATAGTTATGGGTGAATACAAATTCACGTAACAAAGTAATAACATATTAATTTACAGATATGTTAACATAGAAGAAAGTAACTAGAAGTGGATGAGATACTATAACAGAGAATGGAAATGAGAGATCACTGACAACAAAAGCTTCGACATAATTTGCATAACTGTTCTTCTAAATCTTAGTCCTTTTTAATCAATGGTCATCAGACCTAAATCTCAAATAAAAGCCTCTAATAGCCCATAGACCTTTACGGAATCAGCTTGGTTCACGAGATATTCCCTCATACAGTGGAGATTAGAGAATATTGCAAGTACAATATCACTACTAGAGTAAGAAATTAACGAGTAACGAGGGATAAAGAATGAAATATCACAAACAACAAACTTATTTTTATTCCATATAACAAACCACATACCACATAACATATATCCTAAAATTACTCTAAAATCTTCACTAGGCCCAACCTCCTTGCTCAAGGGAGTAAAACCACGACCTGTTGCACAGGATTTACAACCGTCTTCACTAATCTTCTCAAGTAAAAGTGAAACCCGATTACAATCAATGTGAGAAAAAGTTATTAATCTCACAATCAAGTAATCTACCTATTACTTGAAGAGCCTAAGCGGATACCACACCGCCCACTAAACCACCTAACTCTAGATGACTTAGAATTTGACTAAGCAACAAAACAATGTTGCCCACTAAATCAGTTAATCTTAATTGATTTAGACTTTTACAAACCAAAAAACAAATATCTAAATCCTTTATAGATTAGGAACAGATTTACAATGTAAGTACATAAACACAAAGCTCTAAATACAACAAAGATTCTTCTTTACTCTATCAGGTCCTTCTGTTGAGTTGAGCAATGTTCTTCCTTGAAGATGACCTTCTGTTCAAGCTTGTGAATTTTCAGAGAAAATCCAAATTTAATTTGCCAAGTCTTAAATTTGTGTTTGTTGGAAAGAGATAATATCATTTCCCACAAATTCGTTGAAGTCATCCCATTGGCTGAAGGCCTGTTGTTGGAAAAGCTGTGCACCTACCGCATCAGAGATGACAGCTTTTCTGACAGCTGTCTTGTCGTCTTTTTCACGTCGCTGTCTTGCAGTTACCAGGTCCCTCACAAATGCGGGAACCAGGTCCCTTGCAAACTTCTGTATGAGTTCTTGAAAAGGCTTGCTGGCTGACTTTCTTCTTAGGATAAATGAATATAATATGGTGTTTGTCATGCAAAAAGTATCAAACATAAAGAGTTATTATCCGTTGGACAAACACCCTCCTCCATTCTGATTGGTGTAGTACACTGACGCCTTACCAACCTCTGACGTGACAGCTTTACAGCTGTAACCAATTATGTATCTGATGGAGGAAACTCTGCCTGGTACCAGGTCCCTGCATTTGTGAGATACTGAAACATACAATCTCGTCCGCTCTTCTTATTGGTGTAGGATACTGCACTTTTCACCTACCACCTGACATGACAGCTTTTATGACTGTACCCATTTGTATATGGACGAGAGCACTCTGCCAGGAACCAGTTCCCCGCATTTGTGAGTATCATCAAAACACCTAGAATATAACAATATAAATTTTATTTCTTTGCATGATGCAGAACAAAATATATTAAAGACAATACAAGTAGATTTTCTTCACATGCTAATGTTTTAGAATTCAATTACTTGTCAGTCAATTCTGTTATTTGTTACTCTTTCAGTGGGCCACTAGGCGGCTTCCTAATAAAAATTAAAAAAAATAAAGGAAAAAAAAATAAAAAGACACTACCGTTCATTAATAACTGACGATTCAAAATATAATGAAGTAAATGCATCAAGAGTTAAAGTACACCAGAGGCAATATCGGTGAGTAATGACCCATATATTTATTATTTTAATTTGATATTTTAAAAAATTAATCTAATTTTGATAGATATTGTTATTTAATTTGTATTTAAATCAACACTAACGACAACAAAACTTTTTTAAAAAAAAACAAAATTTGAAAGTTTAAATCATGTAGTGAAAACATAAATTAATAACATTAATGATGGTAAAACATATAAGAATTTGTAACAATTGTATGAAACAGAAAGAAAAGAAAATTGAGCTAAATGAATGAAGAGTGTCCTCGTAAGAAAATTATTCATTTTTAATATACAAGATTCGAATTAAGATAGATCTTTTTAGTATACGAGATTCGAAAAATATTTGGAGAAAAACTATTTTACATGTTAATTTTTAAGAAAATTTCTAGATAAACTGTTATATGTGATATTACCTGAGGATTCAAATTATTAGTGGTCTAGCTGCTAGTTTAAACTTCATTAATCAGTAGATTTTGACAAATAAAGTAGCTCTCCCTCGTTTTTTTTCTCTCAAAACAATGGTACAGGGATGAAGTATCACAAACAATAAATTATTTTTATTCCATATAACAAACCACACAATACATATATCCTCATCCAATACATCACACACTAAAATGGAGAGGAAATTAAAGTACCAGTCTACATGATCCATACTTATTCAGTAATTTTGCGACACAAACAGTCAACAAAACCATATAGTACTATATTTTTTAAAATACTTAACGTTTCATTTAGTTGTTATCCCACCAGAATTGTGACTGGAGGTAATCGACAACTTTTTTATCAATTTGGAATGCTTTTGCAAGAACATCATCATTGATTGGTGGATCTGATCCAAATACTGCATTTGCAATAGTAATGACTCCTGGATTTTGGCTACTGAGTCCAGCAAATGCAACTGCATTAGTCTTTCCCACGTTAAATTGGAAATGAATTAGCCCTACTGGGAAAACAAACACATCTCCAGGATGCAAGATTTTTGTAAAGAGTTTGTTCTTCATATTTGGACCAGGGTTCGAAAGGACAAATCCAACGTAGAGCGTACCCTCGAAGAGAGTAAGAACTTCAGTTGCTCGGGGGTGAGTATGAGGTGGGTTCAGACCGTATGGTGCAAAATCAATACGAGCTAAAGAAATGCCCAAAGTGTTGAGTCCTGCCAAGTTGTTGACGTTAACCGCAGTTACAGCAGATCCAAGTTGATTTGAAGTGTTTCCAGCTAGGTTTAGCCCGGGCCTAAAGAAGTCATCAGCATTGACATCCAATGGATTCTTGCAAAATTTTCCATTCACGAAAACTGCAAAAAAAAAAAGGAACAAGTTTAATTTTAACTAGACAAAAATTAACAAAAAGACTTGATAAAAATAGTAAAGATGATTTTTTTAAAAAATTTGGTAAGTTACCAGCATTTTTGGAGTCATTAACAGCTACACAAAAATCCTGAAGAGGGCTGGGATCAGATGCATGGCTCAATGAAAATAAAACAGCCATTATGGAAATGGTTAAAACAAATGACTTGAAAGTCATTGCTACTAGAAATTTAATTATCACTACTAAATATCTTATGAAATTATATATGATCAAATGATATTTCCTTTTGTTTGATTTATGACAAACCTAATAAGAAAAAGTTTCGTATTTATAGATGATTATTAAGTTTGAATTGGTCGTCAATTTCATTTTCGAAATTAAATAAACATATTAAGCTTTTGAATTACCAAGTCATCAATATAATGGTAAATTTTTCAAAAAAATCTATTGAAGCTTCCTTCAACAACTACAAAGACCAAATCTCATTTACGTACCCATGTTGAAATTAATATTTGACGTAACATACTGAGTAGCCAAAAGGGAAAAAAATCGTAATGTGTACAATAAAATGTTAATTTTTTAATTACTCTAATATCTCCACTGATACATGTATTAAACTATTGTACAGCTGAGAATAGCTATACAGTTATATCTCTCCACAATATTTTATAGTAATAACAACAATGCTTTATTAAAAATTCATTGTTGTATTATGTTAGATTATATTTTCTTTAGTTATAATATAATATTTTCCTATAATAATCAAAAAATATTTGAATAAATAAATCTATTATAAAGTTGATTTGATTAATTGTATAGATATATATAAATCTTGGCCTCAATAATTTCTTTGCATTATCTAGAATATAATTTGACAGTAATATAAAATTTGACTGTGACGTACCAGCTTGCCAAGGAAAAAGAAAGAAGAAAAAATCGCAACCTATACTCGATGTGCACAAAGAAGTATCAGGGATTATTTAGAATTTAAAGTTGATAAATTTTTTAATAATATCAAGTTAGTAATAAATAATAATATATAATTAAAATTTATAATCAAATATTTACAGGTATTTGATGTATTTTTTAAATATAAATACAGATGAATTATATATGAGGAACTCATACACTATTATCTAAATCCTAATCTGAGAAGCATAATATTGGACCGACAAAGAAATAATATGTTGATTTAGTCCAAATCGTATGGATTTCGACATGATTAAAATTACATGAAAACTTAAAATTTCGTATTTTTGAACCACAACACCTCATATTTTACAAGCTTGTCATTGTAATTTTAAATTAAAAAGCAGTAATAATTGAGAATAATAACAATATATTTTATATTTTATATTTTATAAAGAGAGAAACATCACTCTGTAGCAAGAACAGTCATCTATGTTATATTTTTTATGATAACATTTTGTTATAGGCTTATAGAAAGTAATAAATATCTCAAAAATTGAACAAAATAATTTTGTAATTATTAAGGGCCCGTTTGGATGGGCTTAATAAAAGCAGCTTTAAAAAAGTACTTTTGAAAGTGTTGAAACTTATTTTTAAAATAAGCAGTTATGTGTTTGGATAAAAGTGCTGAAGTTGTTATGCCAAACGTGAAAAAGGAAAAATAGAAAAAAGAGATGTTAGGGTTATATGGATAATTTGAAGATTGTATAAAAATATTAAGGGAAAAAACATAAAAATGTGGTCAACTTAAAACAGCTTATAAGCTTAAAAAAAAAGCACCCATACCCCAGCTTTTAACTTTTGGCTTAGAGCCTGTTTGGCTCAGCTTAAAAGCTAGTCAAACTGACTTAAAAGCTGGTTTTTGACTTATTTAGCTGTTTGGCAATACTCAAAACAACTTATTTTAAGGTTAAAAAAAACTTATTTTAAGCCAAAAGTTAAAAGCTGGGGTAGGGGTGCTTTTTTATTTTTAGCTTATAAGTTGTTTAAGTTGACCACATTTTTATCTTTTTGTGCTTAATATTTTTATACAATCTCCAAATTACCCATATAACCCTAACATTTCTTTCTTCCATTTATCCCTTTTCACGTTTGACATAACCAACTTCAGCACTTTTATCCAAACGCATAACTGCTTATTTTAAAAATAAGTTTCAGCACTTTTAAAAGTACTTTTTTAAAGCTGCTTTTATTAAGCCCATCCAAACGGGCCCTTAAAATAAGTTTTTTTTAACTTAAAATAAGCTATTTTGAGTATTGCCAAACAGTTAAATAAGTCAAAAACCAGTTTTTAAGTCAGTTTGACCAGCTTTTAAGCTGAGCCAAACAGACTCTAAATATATAGATGATATAGATATATGTATCTTAGCTTTATATGCATAACGTAATAATTTATTTTGAAATATTAATTCATGAATCATAAATAACTTATTTCCTAAGTATAATTGTAAAACAAAATATATTAAAGCAATACAAGTAGATCTTCTTCACCTGCTAATGTTTTAGTATTCAATTACTCGGTCAATACTGTATTTGTTACTTTGACTTTGGTGGGCCACGAGGCGTCTTCTAATATACACAGATCACACGTTAGTGGCAGATTATGAATTTTTTACTAAATAAAATAAAATATATAATTTGATAAAATGCACGAAAAAAGTTAAAAGGAAATGTAATATTATGATATATATATACGCAAAAGAAATTTAAGCTAAAACTATATATGTCGTCATTTTTAAATAAATATATTAGGTGTGACGAAAGATTTGGTATGAAAATAGTTTGTACCAATTAGTGATAAAGCATATTTATCGATTCAACTTATTTTAATTCATTCAATTTATTATAGAGATAGTTTCACTCTATACCACTTACCTTTCATGTGGTTTGAGGTATTACATATAACTTTTTTATTTTGATTTTTCAATAATCATTTTTAAAATTTATTTAAATAAATATAAATTAATTATAATTTGACATATTTATCCTTTTATATGATAATTTTTTTTCCTCAAACGAATTGGGTATGGAACCCTTATATTTATTTTTAATAGATATAAAGAATGGTAAAAAAATCAAAATGAGGGGAGGTATACGTATTATCTTAAAACACAGAGAATGTGAGTGTTATAAAACGAAATATGGAGAGAGGTCTCTGAAATTATCATTTTATTTATATATTCAAAATTGAGATTAATTTGTATCGATAACAAGTGACATAAAAATTATATTTAGTTTATTTTTTGAAATACTTATTTTAAAAGTATAACCTGGGTTACCCATTTAAGATATTTTAAAAAAAAAACTAATTTTGTTTGGTAATTAATTAAACAAAAAATAAGAATACAAACACAAAAATTAAAACTTGGTTAGGATTGAGGGGATTAAGCTATGACCTCCTGTTTAGCTGATAACTAGCTCATATCTCAACTCAGTTGACCTTTTGGCTTTCGGACAAATTAATGACTCATACATTTATTAACTCATTATATTTTAATTTTTTGAGATTTAATCGAATCGTCTTATTATATCGACTTAGTTTAATGATTTTCTACAGCTAAAATTAGCAAGTCATCAAATGGTGATTTTTTCAAAACTTCAAAATGGTGAAGGCTTCTACAACAACTACGAAGACTTCAAAATAGTCTTTGAAAATGACATAAGGAGCAGCAGGAAGAATCAAAAAGATTGCCATCATTTTTCATTTATTTTTTATTTTTTTAGCAACACTTTTCCAAGAAAAAAAAATAGTACCTAGAGATGTAGACTTAACAATACTTACGATAATGTAATAATATTGATAGTTACTCTTTCAGCCTTAACTAGAATTTTAGATTCGAGGCTTTTCGAGTATGGAGTTTAGTGTCAGAGCTAAAATATTTAATAAGGGGTTTAATATCAGCATAGGCGAACTCAGGATTTGAAGACTTTAGGTGCACTAATATAAACCTAGCTCGAATAAAATAAAAATTGGATTCAGTGGAATTTGAACCCTGGTCTAGAAGGTGGTATCTATAGCTTCCATCAATTGCACAAGGTCACTTTTATGTTTTTTATGGGTACACTGTTAACTTTATTTTTATTTCTACCATCTTTTTAAAATAGAATATATATATATATATATATACATATGATTTTTTTAAAAATTACCAACTGCACGTGTACCTCACCATATAGTGTGAATCCGTCCCTGAATATCGAAAAAACTAAATAGATGAACTAATCAAAGAAAGTTTGACATTTATTATATATACAGAAAAAAGTAATTCTAAATATATACAATAATAAAATTTTCTATCGAATATAGTTCAGATGAACCCTGGCTCCGCCCTGATGGGCTCTCTTTTGTTGGAAAACGCTTTTATCTCGTAACAAGAGACTTCCTGTGAATTCAGATTATTTGGTCGAGCTTCTAGAAACACCGAATGAAAAAGAAAAGCTTTGGATGTTAATAAGGTGTATCTTTTGATGGTGCCATGCATTAAATTGCTTATTATTTTCATTTTGAAGTTTCTATCATAACTTTAACTTTTTTTTTCTTCCTCGTCGATTATGATCATGACCGTTTCAATGAATATCTCTTTAATTATATTATATGTAGTAGTTATAAACTGTTTCTAACTTCTCATTAAGTTATAAGATTAATTAGTCCTTATAGTTGTTGACCCAACTTCATAACTCAAATGTTTAAAATTTTACCACCATTTACGACTTGGTAATTGTCCAGAAGCTAATTCAAATTTTGTAATTTTGGTAACTTTTTTAAGACTAATTCAAATAATCTTTTATCTATAAATAGAGATACCTTTCTTATCATATTAATCACAAAAACAAATTAGATTGTTTTAGAGTTTCAAATTAGTAATGGCTCTTAAGTATGCTGTGTTAATCATTGCTATACTGGCTGTGGTTACTTCAATAAGCCATGCATCTGATCCTAGTCCTTTACAAGATTTTTGTGTTGCTGTTAATGACTCCATGACTCCTGGTAAAATTTATTCATTAATTTTAATTAACATTAGCTAGTTGTGTTATGTTGTAAATTCTAATTCTAATTCCTATATTATGCAGTTTTCGTGAATGGAAAAGTATGCAAAGATCCAAAAGTTGTCAGTGCTAATGACTTCTTCAAATCAGGCTTAAACGTTGCTGGAAATACTTCAAATAATGTTGGGTCTGCTGTAACTGCTGTGAACGTCAATAACTTACCAGGGCTCAACACTCTGGGCATTTCATTAGTTCGTATTGACTATGCACCCTACGGTCTCAACCCACCACACACACACCCTAGAGGAACCGAGGTTCTTACGGTCCTTGAGGGCACACTCTACGTTGGATTTGTTCTTTCGAACCCTGGTCCAAACATGAAGAACAAGCTCTTTACCAAGATTCTACATCCCGGAGATGTGTTTGTTTTTCCAATAGGTCTTATTCATTTTCAATTTAATGTGGGTAAGACTAAGGCTGTTGCATTTGCTGGACTCAGTAGTCAAAATCCTGGAGTCATCACTATTGCAAATGCGGTATTTGGATCAGATCCACCTATTAACGATGATGTTCTTGCAAAAGCATTCCAAGTTGATAAGAAAGTTGTCCATTATCTACAGTCACAATTCTGGTGGGACAACAACTAAATTATTATAAGCCATGCAATGGTTCTATGATTATTAAATTTGTGTGGTTTTTATTTTATAATCGTTAATAAACTTCAAGATTATCCAGTCATGTTGACTGATTTTACTTGATCTGTATTGGATGATACGTTATTGTTTTATTATAATTAAAAAAATTACCTTCATATATTCATATTTTATATTTTGATAATCAAACAGTTTAAGTTTAACCAGAAATTTGTGCATGCAAAAATCTTCAAGATTTTTGAAATGAAATTTATATATTTGTAAACTTTGTAAAAAGTATTATGAATCACAATAATTGATAATTCAAAATATTTATAAGATCTATGAAAAATTTAATGTAAAAAATAGACATGATTGATTCTTAATTTTTGAAATTCGAAATGTGATATATAAAATGGGACAGAGATAGTAATAAGGAACAATGAATCTTTTTGAGTGACTAACTTCTTGAATTATAACTAACTTTAACAGTTGTAATTAACTGAACTACTAATATGATTAATTAGTTTCTTTCAACATACTGTTTGGGATTTTGTAAAAATAATTGTACATATCATATGGAAGTTTACAATCAAGACTAAGCGATCATCAATATCAATGATTAAAAAGGGCAGAAAAACTTGAAACTTCATTAATGACTGTTAAAGTGGACGAATACTGATGATTCAAGTTCGTTTGACGTATTTCCTAGCTTGTTTAGGCCTGATCAAGATTTCAACTAACAAAAACTATCTAATTAAAACGATGGTTAGATATCAAAGAAAATAAAAAGTACGTAGAGAATACACAAAACATAACTTAAATTTTGAAAAACTTGAAATAATTCGTCTAAAACGATTAAACAAATAAAACTTGAATATTTTCTCTATCTTAAATAATCGGTTGTGATTCTCTTTTACATATCCTTAAAAATGTTAATTAGGAGGTTTTTTTTTTTTAAAAAAAAACAATAATTTATAATCATAACATTAGCTTATAATAATTAAGGTATTTGTAGTATTGAAGAATAATAGTTATTAAAGATAAAATAATTAATTTTATCTTAAATTTATAAACAATAAATAATTTGAGATAATTTTTTTTATAAAATTGTGACAGATAATTATACAAAAGAAAACAACAATTAAGCATGTATTGGTTGCTCTAGAGTCATTAATAGCAACACAAAAGTCCCTGGACTATAGTCAAATGCAGTGCTACGTAATTAACAAACAATTTCAGGGCCAAATTAAGTCATAATTAGCTAGACAATTAATCTATAGCTCTCTTTATTTTAAGATATGTATCGCTTCATTAAAAAAATATTCTATAATAATTGTAAATTTAAAAATTTAAGACGAAATAATAGTTTATATACATATAAAAATTATTATCTTCATCTCATATAAGTTATCCATCTAATACTATAAATTAATAATTGCTCCAAATTACTTATTCATTTACTAAATCATGACGAAATTAATTAAAAAGTTTCTCATGTTCGCCTGCAATTGATATTATTTGAAAGCCTAAATAAATTTGCAATTTATGATAATTTCGTATGGTTTTTAATTTGAGTATCTAATTTTTTTTATTTGAAATATCAAATTAATATAATTTAATTAAACTTTGAAAATAATTTTGAAAAGCATAACATAACAAATAAAAAAAAACGAATAGAGTAATAGATAGGAATAACATGATAAAATCATATCTTATATGTTTTTAATGAACGTGAAATGGCTCAAATCAATATTTATTATTTTCGAGACGGATGGAGTTAGTTAAAACATGCTGTTTTAATTTTATTTCTTGGTAGGTGATAGACTAATTTGCATGGATTTCTAGATGAATTACACCTCAAATTAAACTACCCAAAATAAACAATGAATTAATTAAGGTAGCTTCTTAATTACCAAGTCTTTTATGATTAGTTTATAATATAATATAATTAACCCAAATCCTGAACCTTTCTTCAACAACTACACAGACTGATTAATCCTCCCTGGGCCATTGGAAATGGTCAGTGCTCAGTATTTGGAAAAAATTCACTCTTTCCTATAAATGATTTGTCTCAATTCATAACTTTTGATATAAAGTAATAAATATTTATAATTTTTTTTTGATGAAATCTTAAAAAATATTAAATTTGAATTTAGAAATCTTAGATGTTGAACCTATTAAAATTTAAAATTTAAATCTGTCTCCAATCACAATACAACAATATCACCTATATGTATATTGAGTATTGACTCAACTTGTTGCAAGTGTTTCTCTTAATTCTTACTACTAATACAATTCTATAATAGTCTCATTTATTTCAATAAAATATTATTATTTTTCTACTTTTATAGTAATTGATTTTAATACACTTATAATAATATTTAACATTTAAATATTATTTGGTTGTCCTAAGCAAAAATTATCCACTTTTAAAGATGATATCGCTTTAAAAATGATCAAGTTATATATTGGGTGTGCTAATAATTAATCAGCCAACTACACATAAAACGAACCCATAAAATTTTGGACGAATTAAGGGCTTTCAATTTTTGAGTCATATTTGACGTCCTGAGTTATTTATATGTTTGAAACCTTCTATCAAATATCTCAATGCTAATCGTTGTTTTTCCTCATACTGTCCCAATCGATTCGAGATTTTAATACTCGAAAAATATAATTAAGTCTTTATAATGGTTATAAACTGTTTGTACGTTTAAGTCTTAAATTATATAATTGTTGACGGAAAATACGACTGAAATGCTCAAATATTCACCATTTATGACTTGGTAAATTATTATTGTACGTAGGAAATTAAACCTAATCCAAACTTTGTCTAGGAGAAATTTAATTAATTAATTTTGTTGACTAATTCAAACAATTTTTTTCATCTATAAATAGGCATGCCTCTCTTATCATATTTCTCACAACAAAAACAAATTGTTACGATATATTATCTTACTTATATACATAGAGTTTCTAATTAGTGATGGCTCTTAAGTCATTTATATTAATCATTGCCATATTGGCTGTGGTTACTTCAATAAGCCATGCATCTGATCCTAGCCCTCTTCAGGATTTTTGTGTTGCTGTTAATGACTCAATGAATGCTGGTAATTAATTATTATTTGATACTTAAGTTAATCCTGTCTATTTATTTATTGTTATTTTGATTTTCTAATTGTGATTTCTATGTGTAGTTTTCGTGAATGGAAAATTTTGCAAGAATCCAATGGATGTCAATGCTGATGACTTTTTTAGACCAGGGCTAAACCTGGCTGGAAATACTTCAAATCAACTTGGATCTGCTGTAACTGCAGTGAATGTTAACAATTTGGCAGGACTCAACACTTTGGGAATTTCTTTAGCTCGTATTGATTTTGCACCATACGGTCTGAACCCACCTCATACTCACCCCCGAGCAACTGAAGTTCTTACTCTCTTCGAGGGTACGCTCTACGTTGGATTTGTTCTTTCGAACCCTGGTCCAAATATGAAGAACAAACTCTTTACAAAAATCTTGCATCCTGGAGATGTGTTTGTTTTCCCAGTAGGTCTAATTCATTTCCAATTTAACGTGGGAAAGACTGATGCAGTTGCATTTGCTGGACTCAGTAGCCAAAACCCAGGAGTCATTACTATTGCAAATGCAGTATTTGGTTCAGATCCACCAATCAATGACGATGTTCTTGCAAAAGCATTCCAAATTGATAAAAAAGTTGTCGATTATCTACAGTCACAATTCTGGTGGGACAACAATTAAAAAAAAATAGTATAAGCCAAATAATACTTTTAATTTTGGCGATATATATTATGTGTGCTTATGTTTTGAATTTTAGAAAAATCATAAATAAATATCATGATTTAGTCTTGTAGACTGGTTTCATTGATATCTTTGTATTGGATGTATTAAACGAGGATTTGTTTTATAGTAAAATTATGTTTTATTGTGATACTATGATTACAAATCGATGTGATAATATTTCCGTGTGCAACATGTTGTCTTCGTCATAAAATATGTGATTAAAACTATATGAAATCTCGATCAATTGTTGTTTTGATTTTTATCTTCGTCGTCAATAATTTGATTTTAAAAAAATTAATTCACTCCTATAAGAGGAACTCACTTAAGCGAGTTGCCACGTAAACTCCATAATTGATTAGTCAAAGGTGGCAGTGTACATGTTGAATACATTCCATCGCTATTCAATTGGTACAAGCAATTGTTAAAAATGAAATTGGTACAAGCAATTGTTAAAAATGAATAGTAATTGGAGTTGAAAAGAAAAGATTTGGTAGTTGGCAAATTGGTAAGATTTGCAACCATTTTTGACTTTGCTATATATACATATGTTAGTGACATAGGTATGATTTTATCCTTCTATAAATAGAGCATTCTTGCTCATTTGTAGAACACACCAAGTTAGAGAGAAAAACCATTTTGAGAGCAAAGTGAGGTATTCCATAGACTATATAAGAAAATAGTCTGTGAAGAAAAATAGAGTGTGGACGATATTTTAGTAAGACAGAAACCAAAAGAGTGTTGTTCCTTTTGAGTGTGTAGTAGTCACATTGAGTATTGTATTCGTGACTATACAATGTAAAATTCCTTACTATAATAATATCAATTGCTCCTCTTGGCCCGTGATTTTTTCCCTTATTCAGAAGGGTTTTCACGTAAAATTCTTGATATCGTTATTTTCCCATTTCATTTCCATTACATTTACCATATATACCTTTGTGCTTGTCCGTGTTTTCCCAACAATACTCAATTGTGGAGTATGCCAATAAAAAAAGAAAAGAAAGAGGAACGCAAAAATTTGATTCAAAATCCATAAAATAATATAAAGATTAATATAGGAATGAACTCAAGTTTATCACTGCGAAGAAATAAATTATTATATAACTCACGCAACAAATACTAATTATATAACATAAAAAGTAAAAACGAATTTTATTTATTCAAAAATATAAAATTTTTGGTTCAATCTTTTGCAAGACATAAAAATAAAATTGCTCCCCCGACAAATGTCATATAAAGTTTTTCCAACTTCTACTTTGTTTGAAAAAAAATATTCTCTTTATTCTAATTCACTCATCTTATTTTCTTTTAAAAATGATTAATTATTTTTATACTTTACTATTTTCTTGTTTTATATTCCTAAACCATTTTTTATTTGGCATGATATTTAATTTTTCTTAATTAATCTATTTCTTAGATATACTTTTTTTTAAAATCATACAAATAAATATAAACAAGATAAAAAAATATTAATTATAACACTAACATAAATTTTTTTAATTATTACTTATAAGTAATATTTAATGTCTGCACATAGACGTGTAAGATTTTAAAAATATTCTACATTGGTTGACTTGGGGAAGAAAACCACTGTGCATCTTCGTTTGAATTTCCAATGGTCTTCTTCTGGTGCAGTGCTTCGCCTATCCATTTAAGAATTCAATTACTTAAGCTTAATCCTGGCTGATTATTGCAGTATCATATTCAAAAACAAGGTTAGTTCTTTTTTATTTTCCCCAAAAATTCTTCCTATTTTGTGATTAGAGTAAAACCATTAATACTATTACATGAATTACTTCATATTTTGAGTTTTAGGGAGAAATTGAACTTGTTCTGTTGATTGTGGTGGGTTAAAGTACCACGCTGGTTGGGGGAATGGAATGCTCAGGCGTCATATATTTACAATAATATATAATACAGTGACCAGCATTAGAAGTAATCAATATTTATAATTGACCTATGTTGAAGAAAACCATTTTGTACTCGAATCAAATCTCTGGGTATTGTATTGTAATTTGGAGTTAGTTGCTACTTCATTTTTGTTTAAGAGAATCCATGTCAAAGGGATGTTTTACTACCAAAGATAAATATGCTAGAATCATCAAGGAACTGTTTATGAAAATAGATCTACATTTTTAAAACAATTGGCTATTTCCCGTCTTCCAATTTAAATAATTAGATTTATGTCAATTCTTGTTGTTTCTTCTCGGTATCTTTTTTATTGATCCGGTTTGTTGTTATTGCATCTTTTTCACTGTTTGCTTAGCAGAGGGTCTTTTGGAAACAATATATCTACCTTCTCAAAGGTAGGGGTAAGGTCTGTTCCCTAGAATCCACTTGTGGGATCACGCCGTGTTTGTTATTGCCTAAGAAAACATAATTTCAGTAACTTAAATACTTTTTTTTTATGAACTTCGCAGATTAAAGAATATCTTCATTTAGAGCTTTGATCCATAATCATAATGAGAGCTGAAAAGGCATCAGTCTCCAGGCCTAGATGCTCTTATCATGTCTACTTGAGTTATAGAGGCCAAGAAATCAGCATGAACTTTATCAATATCCTACACACTGCATTGACTGATGTAGGTATTCAAACATTCAAGAGACACAGTGAATCTAGAAATGGAAAAACTGTTGGATCAGAATTGCAAAAGGCAGTCAAGGAATCGAGGATTTCAATAGTTGTATTCACGGAAGATTATGGATATTCTAGAAGGTGCCTAGATGAACTTGTGAGCATCCTTGAAAGGAAGCAAATCGCTGGTCATATGATTCTACCTGTGTTCTATCGTGTAGATCCATCCCATGTTAGAAAGCAGAGGGGGTCGTTTGCGAAAGCATTTCATAATTACGAAGAGCAGATCATGGTGGAGAAGGTTGAAAGAAGGAATGAGCACATAGCAAAGATAAAGATATGGAGATCATCTCTTACAGATGTTGCAAATATGGCAGGCATAGTTCTAGAAGACGGGTAAGCTAAATTAAATTTATTTTTGCTATGCATTGCTTAAAATGTCTTTGTATATTTCTTATATTCTGTTGCTTTTCAACATTTATCTCATCAGGGTTTGTTTATGGACATTCAAGTTCCAGCTTGTTCAGTTGTGACATAATTTGCATGATAACCAGCGTTATCTATCTAAGTGGTCCTTTTCTTCTTGCAGGGATGAACTGAAGTTTATTCAAGAAATTGTTAAGGAAATTTGGGGTAAGTTGTCTCGCAAAGTTTTGAGTTTCGCCCCATATCCTGTTGGAATATATTCCCGTGTAAAAGAGGTTAATTTCTGGTTACAAGATAGCTCGACTAATTCTCGCACATTGATGATTTATGGAGAACCTGGAATAGGGAAAACAACAATTGCCAAAGCTCTTTTTAACCTACATTGTGACAGATTTCAATGCAGCAGTTTTCTTGGAGATATTCGAGAAATTGCAAAAGAAAGTTGTGGTTTGATTGACCTACAGAAAAACCTTCTTTCAGATCTTCTGAAAGAGGATAAGATTGATCTTAATGATATTGATAGAGGAGCTTCTACAATCAAAGACTTTTTAGTCCACAAAAAGTTTCTTCTTGTTCTTGATGATGTTGATGATTTAACCCAATTGAAAGCAATTCTTGATTCAAGAGATTGGATTCCTCCGGGGAGTAAAGTTATTATAACAACTACAAATGAACACTTGCTAAACCCTCATGATGCTTGTCTGATGTATGAAAGCAAGAGGATGGACAATCATGAGGCGCTCAAGCTCTTCAGCTTGCATACTTTTGGTCAAGACCATCCCGTCAAGGAGTACATGACACACTCCAAGCAGATAGTTAAACATTGTCAAGGGCTTCCTTTAGCTCTTCAGGTTCTAGCCTCTTCGTTACATGGTGGAAGTATAGATATGTGGGAGGGTGCAATAAAGAAATTAGAAAGATATTCTGAATCCCATAACCATAAAGTTCTTGAACTGAGCTATGAAGCTTTGCCAGATGATCATGATAAAAATGTATTTCTTGATATTGCTAGCTTCTTTGTTGGGAAAGACAAAGATTATACAATCAAAGTTCTGGATGAATGTGGTTTCCATGCTACTGCTGAAATACAGAATCTCATTGATAGATATCTTCTGACAGTGACTCCTGATAACAAGCTAATGATGCATCAGCTACTACAGGAAATGGGTAAAGAGGTCATCTGCCGAGAATCACCCATTGAACCTGGTAAACGCAGCAGAATCTGGCATCACAAGGATGCCCTTAGTATACTGCATGAAGAAACTGTAAGGCTCATTCCTCCTGTACCAATTTTGTTCTTTTTCCTGGAGCTCATTTTCACTTCAATGTTACTTTCCATGTCAGGTTACAGAATCTATTGAAGGGCTTGTTCTTAAAATGCGTGGATCAGATGAAAGCAAACCGGACAGACATGAATGTATATCAAAAAGACCTTACTTCAATGATTCACAGAGCACTTCAACATTGACTCTCAAGAAAAAATCATCAAAGAGGCTTCGTGTAGGATGCCTCTCTTGGGGTCATGGGAATTCTGTTTCGGCAAGATCACAGACTGTACAAAATGAAGCTGGAATGAGTGCTAAAGCATTTTCTAAAATGCAAGAATTGAGATATCTTGAGCTTGAGAATGTCCAGCTTTCTGGCAGCTTTGAAGGATTTCCAAAGAAATTAAGATGGATGCGCTGGTATGGATTCCAATCAACATCCTTCCCAAATGGCTTTCCTCATGAAAATCTTGTAGTTCTTGAAATGAGCAATAGCAACTTGCATCAAACCTGGGCGGGAGCAAAGGTTTGCTTACGAAACTCATTTCTGATTTCGTGGCTGATTGTGATTGTGTTCTGGCAGACTTGATATTTTTCTTCACTGACTCTCTCTTTTCCTATTTTTGCTCAGTCTGTACGATCATTGAAGATACTTGATCTTGGTCACTCACACAGTCTCATGAAGACCCCTGATTTCTCTGGATTACCGAATCTTGAAAGAGTGATTCTTGAAGATTGCATAAGTTTGGTTAAGGTCCATGAATCCATTGGAAGACTCCATAAACTTCTTGTCTTAAATCTGAAGGGATGCGAGAGCCTTAAGAAGCTTCCAAGGAAAATTTGGGAAATCAAATCCTTAGAAGAACTAACACTCTGTGGGTGC